CTCTGCATTGTTGGGTCTAGCGTATTGCATCCTCCGCTTCACAATACCCCATAGATTTTCTATGGGGTTAAGGTCAGGCGAGTTTGCTGGCCAATCAAGGACAGGGATACCATGGTCCTTGAACCAGGTGCTGGTGGTTTTGGCACTGTGTGCAGGTGCCAAGTCCTGTTGAAAGGTGAAGTCTGCATCCCCATAAAGTTGGTCAGCAGCAGGAAGCATGAAGTGCTCTAAAACTTCCTGGTAGACGGCTGCATTGACCCTGGACCTCAGGAAACAGAGTGGGCCAACACCGGCAGATGACATGGCACCCCACACCATCACTGACGGTGGAAACTTTACACTGGACCTCATGCAACGTGGATTCTGTGCTTCTCCGCTCTTCCTCCAGACTCTGGGTCCTTGATTTCCAAAGGAAATGCAGAACTTGCTTTCATCAGAAAACATAACTTTGGACCACTCAGCATCAGTCCAGTCCTTTTTGTCCTTGGCCCAGGCGAGACGCTTCTTGCGCTGTTTCATGTTCAAGAGTGGCTTGACACACAGAATGCGACACCTGAATCCCATGTCTTTCATGAGTCTCCTCGTGGTGGTTCTTGAAGCGCTGACTCCAGCTGCAGTCCACTCTTTGTGGATCTCCCCCACATTTTTGAATGGGTTTGTCGTCACAATTCTCTGCAGGGTGCGGTTATCCCTAGAGCTTGTACACTTTTTTCTACCACATTTTTTCCGTCCCTTCGCCTGTCTGTTAATGTGCTTGGACACAGAGCTCTGCGAACAGCCAGCTTCTTTAGCAATCACCTTTTGTGTCTTGCCCTCCTTGTGCAAGGTGTCAATGATTGTCTTTTGGACAGCTGTTAAGTCAGAAGTCTTCCCCATGATTGTGGTGCCTTCAAAACAAGACTGAGGGACCTTTTAAAGGCCTTTGCAGGTGTTTTGAGTAAATCAGCTGATTAGAGTGGCAGCAGGTGTCTTCTATATTCAGCCTTTTCAGAATATTCTAATTTTTTGAGATACCAAATTTGGAGTTTTCATTAGTTGTCACTTATGAATATCAAATTTAAATGTAATGAACATTGGAAATACATTGGTCTGTGTGCATTGCATGAATATAATGTACAAGTTTCACGTTTTGAATGGAATTACTGAAATATTTTCAACCTTTTGATGATATTCTAATTTACTGGCCAGCACCTGTATATATATATATATATATACCTGATATTTAAAACTTTATTGTTATTGTTTTTGAATGCTTTGTAATTTCGACCAGACACGGAGACAGAGGTGAAAGAGAAAGGAAAAGAGAAAAGGTGGGGAGAGAGGGGGTTAGGTGGGGGGGGGGATTCAACAAAAATAAACAATAATGAACAAGAGTCTGCTTCTAGACCTGCAAAATGAGACGAGAAAAAAGCAAAACATAACAAAAAAATGGGACACAACACCAATATAACAAAATCAAGCTATCACTGCGTCAACTTGATGAAGAAATATATAATCAATCATTGTTTAACTAAACAGTCACACGATAATATACCACAGTGCATTGAGTGCCCACCATAGTCTTAAGACATGTGTTGAACGTGCCCAAGCCCATACTTATGAGAGCACCATGTGAGCACCTGTGTGTGTACACGCGCTTGTTTATGTAAGGTTTATCTATAGGAGCGTCCAATAGAGAGTGTGAGGGACCACAGATCTGCCCCCCAAAGACGCGTAGGAGACGGGGGGGAGCTCCAAGTCCCAGAGATCCAGGCGCTGCCCCAGAACACAGGAACCCCAAGGAGCCCGCAACCAGAAAGGCCCCCGCCCCCCTCGAGAGGCACAGAGGATCGCCCCGGGGGGCCACAACCAGCAGCCGGCAGAGCCCCGGGAGATATCAGCGGCAAGTCCTCAGGCCTGCCCGCAGCCTCCCACCCCCTAGCCGGCCGAGTCCAGGACCCAGCGACCCGGGACCCAGGGGCGACCACCCCCGCCGGGGACCCAGCAGAGCCCAGGGACCCAGACCCCCCCAGGCCGCCACCGGGATTGATCAGGCAGATGCCTTACCCCAAAATTCCACTACCTCCGCTCCGCTCCTCCCCCGCGTTCTGCAGCCGCTCGCTTCCAAACTCAATTTTTACTGGTACCCGCTCTACAAAGACTCCGTTCCGGTGCGGAGACCTGAGGTGCGCAAACAGGCATGCGCGGGATTTTCTAGATCTTGCGATACAGTCCGAGCAATAAACGCGGAAGTTAGATCCAAACACCCGTCGTGTGGGAGAAGCATCGAAATGAACTGTTTAATCTGCCCATCATTTGTGTTGAGAGATCAGCAGTGTTTGGATCAACAAAGTGTGACTACTTTGATAGTGGAAACTGTATTTATGGCTTATTTTTGTGCATTTAAAGTTCAGCCACCATTGATAGTTGTTAAAAGTTGTTGAACCTGTGCATATGAAACAAAAAACGCTTTTTGTTTATCGATTTATTGTGAAAAAACAGAAGTTGTGTTTGCTCCCTTTCCTGTTGGGCGGTTGTGATTTCTGTCCATTGACTGCGGAGGTGCTCCGGTGTCCGGCAAAAATAGAATCAATCCTATTTTTGCCGGATGGCGGAACGGCGGGCGGTGCACTGCGCTGCACGGCCGCAGTAGTGGAACAGCTCTGACTGACTACAACGGGACCGATTTTGCTGCAGAGTTTGTGCTGGAGTGCAGCGGAGCTGAGGTAGTGGAATTTTGGGGTTATGTCTGCCTCTCCTGACTCCAACCAGGCCCATCATCCTAGATATTGTAATGTCACCAAATTAACTGATTTTAAGATCCCACAGTTCATATGCATGGCCAGAGCAAATAACCCTGGCTACACACGTTCTGCTGTATTTTACCCTGACAGGAGATGGACTGACTGCACTCAGGCTCTTTAATCAGATGACTTCATCAGCTTAACTGAAGCTTCATCAGATAATGAAAGATCTTTTCCAGGATCCTTCACAAGAGAACTGTATTAGAGAAACTTTTATTCCCAGAAGAAAAGAAGATTTCATAATTAAAAGTAATCATTTTATAATTCAAAATAATCATTGAAGAAAAGATCTTGTAACTAAGATTTTAATTATTAATAATTGCTAAATATTGCCATGTATAATTATTAATGATGAAATGTTTCATGAATCTGTTTCAATGATACTAAGTATATTTACTGGATTAGGTCATCACACTTGCAGACAGAGTAAGGCTAAGATAAAGACATGACACATAAGTAACCTTGTCCCACATTTCAGAGTTCAGAATCGGAGACTGTTTTCTGAGATGCTAGGCAACTTCTGAGATAACACCAGGCCTTAAAAAGAGCTTCACTCTCAGTCTCAGTAAGTCAGACAGACAGAGAGAGAGAAGCTCAGAACGGTCATCTGAGCAAGCCTCTTACACCAGAAGGATTTTGACATAGTCAAAACCTTAAGCTTTTGCACCTGTAATACATCCCTCAGCTTGCTAGGAGTGATGCGGTTGTTGAGGGAGCAATAAAGTTTGAGTGTGGGTTGAATAATAACAGAGTGAATGTGCCCAACAAAGGATTTTATTAAACAAAACAAAAGGCAGATATTCATAAAAGGGGAAAAGACTACCAAAAAGCACCAAGCCAAAAGGGCTGGGAAGAGGAAAACTAATTACTGAAATACTCTTACTTATAATTCTAAATAAAACAACGGCCGTCCTGAAAAGCAGTGACGCTCAGGCAAAGCCAAATTCGAAGTCAAGGGCCGGTCTAAGGTCAATCCAAAAGTCAATCCGATTCTAGAGTTTTCTAACACTAAAGAACGACACTAAACACACGGGCACTACGAGGAGAAGAGAAAAGAGTGAACACAAGTTTGCTTGATGATTGAAAGATAGGAACAGGACAGCTTATAACAAATGAGAAAAAAGTGTGCAGAGTGTAGAAGATAAAAAGAAAAAAAAGAATAGAAAAGAGAAGATTAAAATGCTAAAATTAAAATAGAAGAAGGAGAAGCAAAAGATAAAAACGATGATAAAACTGAAAAAGATAAAAACAATGATAAAAATAAAATAGAAGAGAATAAAAACTATGACAAAGCAAGGCAGCTTTATTTATATCACATTCCACATACAGGAGCAAACCCATTTAGGCCCCATGCCATTAAGTGGTTTATAAACTAGAAGTAGCACTTGGATTATGTAGTTTACTGGTGTAGAGTGTAGAGACTTAAGAACAGGAGTTATGCACTTGGTTCTCTTGTTTCTTGGTAAGAGTCTAGTAGCAACATCCTGAATAAGCTGCATTGCTGCACAGCTTTTTTTGGGAAGACCAGTCAAAAGACTATTGCAATTGTCCCGCCTGCTGGAGATGAACGCATTAATGAGTTTTTCTAGGTTCTGTCTGGGCATGAGATGTCTGAGTCTTGCTATTTTATGAAGATGATGAAATGCTGATCAGTGAAGCTCAGGGGCCTTGATCATCATGGTGTCATGTGAATTAAGTTTTAGTTAAGGTCAGGAATAGACTGGTTATTGTTAGAGTTAGGCAAGAGAGAGAAAGAGAGGGAGCGAGAGAGAGAGTAGTAATGAAGCAGTATTGGTTTTACGTTATGAACAGGTTCAATAAAAACTACTGTAATTATTTAAATTACATGTTATTTAATAATCCATAAGACAAAAGATTCCATAGGAAATATGAAATCAACCAGAAGATTGGAACTTTTTAATGCAGGGATTAGATAACAGCTTCGTATTCACTCAGAGACAACAGAAGAGAAAGAGTCGAGTTTAAAAGTTTAAAGATTTATTACTAAACAAATTAAACTAGATTAACTTAAACACTAAATGTATGGTGTAACTAAGGTGAATGAGACGGAGAATGGTGTGATGTGGAATGTTGCTCAGAACCAGCAAATCCGAAGAAGCAATTAGTTCTGATGGGAACTGAAGGTGATGTCTTTGCATTAAGCTTTAGTTAGGAGATTCATAAACACATTCAACGCCATTTCGCCGGTCTACATACCCTTAGCGGAAGTCCCCGTTAGGTCAGGAATGTTGAGGTCCAGCTTGACCTTCTCTGGAACCGAAGCCGGTAGGAAAAGCAGCGGTTGTCGACCAGACCAGTCTTTGAGATACTTCCGGGTCACGATGATTTTATTGGCATCTAGCGAGACCCAAACCGGGGTCTTGATGGTTCAGCTTTTATTCTGAAAGGAACCATTGCAGCAGTGGGAACAGCAACAGATTTTATCCAGCTTGTCGTTGGTTCTTTTGGCTGGAGAGGCAAAAAGAACCAAAGTTACGGTTTGGCCACTCCGACACTTCTCTAGAACGCTTTGAACTGGTGTTAAAGATGACGTGGGCATAGTTTTGTACTTTGGATGTTTTGGTTTATGGTCAAATGAAAAGTTGACAGATTTCCCAAACACCACCATAACCACGCCTCCGAAAGATCTGGCAGATTCTGATTGGATCAGTAAAGCAATGTGTCATGTCTTAACGCTACGTGAGATCAGTCCTAGTGGAACATTTAAAGTCATATTACTTAATATATTCTATTGGATTATAACAAGTGATTAATATTTTGATTTCACAGATTGGACACATCTTATTTATTGACTAACATTTGGTTGGATTAGCTTTATTAAAATAGAGTTCTTTGATTAATTAAAAGTAGAGAGTCCATTCTTCATTCTTCTGTTGAGCTGAAAAGAAGCAGTTTTATAAGCAAATGCATGAGACCTTGAGGCCATATCTCATGCAGACTAAGTCCTGTGTCAGAGGAGAGGGGGAAAATGACTTTTGGTGGAAAACAGTCATTTCATTCTGTTACACTACACTACCGAAAGAGTTTGCAGGGTTGCAGTCAGAAATATAGAAAAATAATTAATCATAAAATCTGATTTTCAAAAAGTGGCCAGGGTTCATACATTTTTTCTGAGTGTTTGCAATACAGTTCAAAGTTGAAATTGTTCATTTGAAATTGTCATTATTCAAAAAGTCATTTAGAAGTTCTTGTTTAGCAGTAAATGTAAAAGAATCAAATAAATGTTTTATTTTTTACATTTAAGCTGCTTTTCCAGGCTTTAATAAACATAACTACTAAATACAAACCAGATGCTGAAAGCTGAGATTGTTCAGAAAAAAGGAGCAGAGTACAAGCATTTTGCTCTTTTTATTACAATTTTATAGCTATAAAACAAAAAAATGCCAGATAGCCCATTTATCATTATGGTCATAAGAGGGTTAAACATGTGATAAATCTTTTGCCTCCCACAAAGAGGATGGTCAAAGTGAATGTGAGCATTAGTACATATGAGTTCTTACTTTATTGTGTATTTTTTATTATTAACTAATACGTTATCATAACACTACAAATAAAAATGAGGAAAATATTCTGGATCAGCACCATGAAGCAAACTTCGGGCCATAGAATGTTTGGTATTCTGGAAATGGTATGAAATGTTACTGTGTGTGTGTGTGTGTGTGTGTGTGTGTGTGTGTGTGTGTGTGTGTGTGTGTGTGTGTGTGTGTGTGTGTGTGTGTGTGTGTGTGTGTCTGTGTTGCCTCATAATAGAATAGAATACAGTAGAATAGACTTTATTGATCCCACAGTGGGGAAATTTGCTTGTTACAGAAGCACCAACACTTAAGAGAATACTTTGAAGAAAAAATAATAACAAAGGTACATGTATATACACCTGGGCAGTAGTCTAGAATTGTAAGTAGGAATTAAGATTTAAGAAGTAAGAATTGTAAAAATAAGGAGGGTGGCTGTGATGATTCCATACATACTAGATGCATGTGGCTAACATAGTTGTATTTATCACACCGGATAACTGGTTGCATACTGTTCAATGTACTTACTGGATGAGTGACTTTTTAAGGATAAATTAATATAATAACAAATACAGACAGAAAGACAACCTGGTTGAGTTCTCTCTCTCTCTTTTTCATTTTTAATGCACCGCATAACCACTTCATATCAGAAAAAGACTATTGGAAGATAGTCAAAAATCAAATAACTTGGATTCAGATTAGGGGGAAAATGTGGTCATAACATCTCTAGATATATGTCAGCTTTAAAAACTAAAACAATTATTCATGAAAAAAATTACCTTCAATTAATGACACTAAATAAAATATTTTCCTAGTTTATATTATGTTGTTTGAACCCAACAGTCTCCCATTATCTTAATTTTCAAACATGTTGGACCATGAATCTGATTCAAATCTTACTCTATTTGTGCCCCCTTTTTAACTTTGAGCACCCGCCACTTCAAAAGTCTCTGCACGGCCCTGTTTCCAGTGATGTATCATTTGTTATGTTCACATGCTGGGAAGTCCCCATTTTTCCTCAGTCAACATGGCTGGCTTACCAGTAACAACATTTTATGGAAATTATGTCAAATAATCTTCATCTTTTGCTATTTTTTACCAAAATAATCATTTATATTCTTGTTAATTAACATGCAAACAACATTATTTTTACTTCTAAAACCAGGTAAATTATTTATATTTTGAAGTAACAGTGCTTTTATAAATGTCTATTGTAGTGGACACTAGTGTAGCATGAGGAAGTATGGGTTTTTCTGTGCCAAAGGTTGTATTTGCCCGGCTGGGTCACAGCACTTTCACCCACAGATTAAGACCTGAGCCGCCAGCAAGACTACAAGGAATCAACAACATCTAACACCTGCATCATCAGAAGAAGGAGTTCTCACACAATCTAGTCATAATAAAGAGTATTACGCTTCCTTTGTTTATTAATGCTAAATAATCATTTTATCAGTTTACTCATTATAAATGTATTTTAATCAAATGAATTATTATTATGCTTTGGGTAATCATAATGAACTATAATGAATCAATACTTAATTAAATAATGTTTTTGGGAGATGTTTAGCGATGACCTTCACACTCGCTCACACAGGTCTGCATCCACAGTAACTCCAAAACACATTTGCGCTGACGCACAAGTTTGCTTTGGGAAGAGAAGTGGGTTTTGGTAAGTTAGTCAGAACGAGTTTGACATCGAAGGAGAGAGGACGTGCTGAACAAACGCCAACGGGGAACGGAGCCCCGCCGGCTCACCCCCCCACACACACACACACTCTTTTCCTGTCAAGCCAGACAGAATAGCGTAATGCAACCAGCTTACGCAGACTCGTCCAGAGTCTTTGATTTCGGAGTCATTTAAACTTGAGAAAGCACATCTGCCAAACGCTTCATCAACGTGTACCGAGGTCAACTCTGGACTGGACCATCAGCACACCTTCGTCTTCTCTGTCAGCCAAGGTGGCACCTGGAAAAACATCCTCCTTCGGTCCGGATCTAAAGAGGGTCCTAAGGTCGGTGAGACAGAACACGATAGATAGTGTTCTGATGCAGTTTTTCTAATAAGAACTACGTTTAATTCAAACCATCATTTTCACTCAGATTCACCTTTTCTCTCCCTGAAGCAATCTCATACACATGCATGCACGCATTCATAATTCCATCATCCTCAATCTTAGCACATCCAACACAAGGTCTATTTGTGCAAGCTTAAAATATCAACTGTTAAAGATCGTCCAACAAGGTTGCCAATGTTGATCATTTTTCCTATGATTGTCATTTCAAATCATTAGTTTAAATTGAAGAATTAAAACTCTTAAAATTCAGACTTGTCTTTTCATTGAACTGAAACACAGACACACGGATATGATCGTCAGTTTATCGATGAAAACAACCTTTGAGTCTTCTTATCTCTATAACATTTGGTTATTAATTTGTAAAACTTAATATGCCAGATTATTCTGTAGAAGGGTTCCTCTTTAATCAAAGAGCCATAAACCATTACACTACACTAGGACAATTTTAGTGTGTTTATACCATTGGTGTGCAGACTAGGAGCCAGGCACATGCCATGTATGATGGACATCAAGCATGCATGAAGGTGCACGAAAAAGAGCTGCAGTGGCAACACATACATGAGGTGTATTGCATTACTAAAAGGAAAACATACTTCAAGGATCATCACTGAATTACAAAAATGAAGAGGTTCACTTTTTAGCTAGTTCATTCTTAAGGCTCACTTTTCCACTAAGTCCATTAGTTGTTGTCATTCCAACAAGCAACAGAAGACTAAAAATGATGAACTCTGCGTTTTGATCAAATTAAATGTGTTCATCAAATTTTTTTTTTGAATTCATATGTAATTAGACGGAAATCGTCCTGTTGTCCTCTACTATTGACCCTTTGCACGTGACATCACTGTGTCTGTGTGTGTTTTCTGGCCCCAGAGACAGCACGTCCAAACATCTCTTCCAATGTGTTTCAGAAAGTCCTTCCAGAGCTGCATGTCAGTAATAGTCTTTTTTTAATATAGCAATGGAAAAACCCAAAGACTTGAAAGCAAGGGCACAGACATACTCACAGTACAAATCCCAAAATACAATGAAATTTCTAATAGGTATTTCTCCATAAGGGGTCATCTCATTCATCTCAAAGGGCTGGGGTGGATGAACAACAGATGCTCACATCACGGCAAACAGAGGCTCTTTGGACAACTTCCTACCCCAAGACTTGATCCTTGCTGACCGTGGATTCACCATTCAGAACCAGGCCGGGCTTTATTGTGCCAAGGTTGAAAATCCTGCCTTTACCAGGGACAAAAAAAAAAACAACAACTGGGTGCTGTTGAACTGGAAGACAGTTGAAAACTAGCTTCTGTTTGCATACATGTTGAGAGGGTAATTGGACAAGCACGATCAAAGTATAAAATACTGCATGGACCTGCCCCTATTAGCAATCTGATGAAATCAAGTGATGAATCAGAGTACACCACTCTAGATAAAATAGTAAGAGTCACATGTGCTCTCACCAATCTGTGTCCCTCAGTAGTGCCAGTTTATTAATTAAAAAACAGTTGCTGTTCTTTTACAGTTGCCATGCTGTAATTATATATATATATATATATATATATATATATATATATATATATATATATATATATATATATATATATACATATATATATATATGTATATGTGTGTGTGTGTGTGTGTGTGTGTGTATGTATAAAATATATATAAAACTATATATAGTTTCATGAGAGAGAGAGAGGTTCCAAATGTAAACATTGTATTACATAACATGTAAACGGTGCATAATAAACAGTTACAGTATGTATTTGACTACTTTATTTTTAAATGCACAGACACAAAAAATACAGTTGAAACGATAAGGTTTTGTGTTTTTAGATAACTATCAACTATACAAATTAAATTTTATATAAAGGGAGAAGAATCTAATGTGTCATACCTCAATTCACAGTATTTTACAACAATTATCATCTAAAAATAGTTGGCTAAATGCAGTTAATGGAAAAAAAGGC